TGTTCAGATGTTAGGTAAATACAACAAAGTCGAAAGCCCAAAAACGCAAGAAGAAAACGTATTTTTAATTTTTTCAAAAAATATATATTTTGTTTAAAATTTTCCACCAAATAATATGTCACATTTAGGTGATGTTTTTCTGACGCCGTCGAAACTTTAAAACCGGTAAAGAAGTTGAGGTTGAAATTAATTCACTGCCTTGCAGTAGTCACGCAAATTTTAAAATGACAAAATCACCGTTTTCATCTGACTTTGAAAAGCGCAGAGACGGGCTGCCAAAATTTGGTGTATTTTAGTCGTTAAAGATTTGTTTGATAAAGCTCTTACATTTTACTTGAAAATATTTGCAAATTAGTATTTTACAATGCTGAAAAAATTAACTTTTATTTCTCTTTTCTTTCGCTTCTCTTTTTTTTTTTTTTTCTCTGCAGTGAGTGCGCAATTCTGTTTCATATGAAAGTCTAAAAATTTTCTGCTTCAGCTGCTTAGGTGCAGAATGCAAATTTTTCTTTAAATTTTCCTTCGATTCACAACAAGAACTTTAATTTGAACTTATACTTGTCAGTAGAGTCAAAATCCTGACTGAGTAAACTAGAGATATGCCTCTGGTAGCTATATCTTCATCTCCTTTAACGTCTGAAACACTGAAACATAGTTCCCTGTTTTCCAATGTACTCTTTACTCGCAAAATCTATCAAACTCTAAGAATTGTGTCACATCAAAATCTATTGAGGTTTTACTTCTTTATAAACTAGACGCACCTCTCTAACTCTTGAGGTCGACACAACTTGTAGAAAGCAAATGCTGTTATAAAGACTACCCACTAAAGCTCTGTAGAACAATAATCTGCAAATATTTCTACAAAAAATATAATCATTTCAGATAAAACTTTAATGGTCAGAACATATCACATTTTGGTAACCGTTTTGGTAAGTTCAAAAAAAGTTGAAGACACTTTTGCCGCTTCAGAAACGTGCAATTACTGTGAAAGGAATCAATAGTTTGCAACCTGACATCCTTAACCGTCTATTCAGTCAGAGCGGCATCATCAAATT